AAATAAATTTAAATCTTGTGGTATGTTTGAGTCCATGTGCGTAAGTTGGACCGAGTTGTTCACAGACCTTGGAAGATACTAAAAAATCCCCTTCTAACTTCGATGCCAAAAGTTTGAACCAGAATTAAGTATTTTTGCAGCCAAAAAACCAAGAACATGTTTTGCATTCTAAATTTCATTCTTTATTTTAGTTTCAAAAATAACACTTTTTAGCTGATGGTTTCATTTGTATTGCTTTGATTTATCTTATGGCTTTTTCAGTGACTGTACTATGTAACACTGCCAATATATTTTCATTTCCATTGTCAATACATAGCACTAATTAAGATCAATGTACACCTTTATTTACATTATCCAAAGCCTACCTTTATAATAATTTTTATGCTGGGGTTCCCTGAGACATGAAAATAATTTCAAGAGTTCTTCCAGGCTAAAAGAGTTGGGAAAAGTTGGGCTGGAGTTTCCTCTCCTGAAAGACATCCATCTTGCATGTCAAGAGTCCTGCAAATCCAAAATCGGGATGAATGAACTAGAGAGGGTCACTTTTCCTCAGATTCTCTGAATGTGTGCTTCAAACACATCCCTCCTTATGTATTACAGCAGGAATTAAAAAGGTAACAGCTGAATTAATAATATAAATATTTAGAGAAACAAAGGAAAAACACTAAATACAAAATTGACAACAGCGAGAGTTAGCTATGGAGCATTAAAATGCCAATTTAAAGCAGTTTGAAGTATCAGTTAAAAAACCTTGCAAGTCATAAATGTAGCAGCCATACCTCATGTCTGGTAAGGATGTTTCCTACACAACTTTATTATTTATTTCCATTTGTATGCCGCCACAATTGTTCATATGTTAAGCTCCCTGAATGACTTAACATTCCAAAATCAGTAATGCTAAAACCAGTTCCAAAGCATGAACAATACAAAGTATAACCAAGCAACTTAAGACCATTAAAAAAACTTCAAGGAAGCAATTTTAAGTAAACTAAAATAAAACCATAAGCCAGAGTCACATGAAAATCAAAATTACCATTAAAAGCAACTGTTAAAGTAATCAGAGAAGAGAAATGACCAAAATGATAGCAGCCAGGGTGCCGGGCACACCTCTCTGGGGAGCCTATTCCAGAGGTGGGGCGCAATTGCTGAGAAGGACCTTTTTCTAGCTGCCGTGCGCCTCACCTCCCTGGGGCAGGGCCCCTTAAGAAGGCCCTCCTCATCTGATCTTAACAGACAAGTAGGGGCATGTGGGAGAAGGTTTTCCTTCAGGTTCCCAGGGCCAAAGCCATTTAGGACTTTATATGTAACCACCACGTTATATTGGGCCCAGACTTCCACTGGCAGCTAGTGTAGATAGTATAACACAAGCCTGCGGACTTGTTCTTTTTACCAGTCATGCAGCCCTATTTCGAACCAGTTGGAATGTTTGGACTCTCTTCAAAGGTAGCCCCATGTAGAGTCCTTGGAATAATCCAATCGGGACGTTACCAGAGTGTGTGCAAGTGTGGCTGTCCTTGGTCTGTCAAGACACGGCCATTGTTGATAAATTAATCACAGCTGAAGAAAGGGGCTCCTGACAAATGAGTACCTGTAAGGGGACTGTAAGCCATCCCAAGATATTCTGTAGGGGACGGGATAGAAAAGCTTTTAACAAACAAACAAACTGAGTCCCCTTGGGAATCAACTAAGAAATTTAGATCTAGGACTGTCAAGCTGCAGAACTGTCTGTAAGGGGAGCACAACCCCACCCAGGACAGGTTATTGCCCATTCAACCATCTGACTTACTTCCTACCAAAAGTTTTTTCATCTTGCCTGCACTGAGTTTCAGTTTATTGGCCCTCATCCAGTCCATGATCAAGTCCAGGCACTGGTTCAGGATAGTCACAGCCTCACCCGGATTTGATGTAAAAGAGAGGTACAGCTGGGTATCATCAGCACATTGCTGAGATCTGAGTGGCAGGCCTCCAGATGACCTCTCCCAGTGGTTTCATGTAGATGTTGAATGGCATAGGGGACAGCATAGAGCCCTGTGGAACCCCATGGCATAATTGCCATGGCTCAGAGCAGCTGTCCCCCAGCAGCACCACCTGGATCTGGTCAGCCAGGTAGGAGCAGAACCATCACAAAGTGGTGCCTGCAACCTCCAGCTCAGCCAGCCTGTCCAGAACACCATGGCCATTGGTGTCAAAAGCAGCTGAAAGGCCAGGAGAATCAACAGGGTTGTGTTCCCCTTCTCTCTCGCCCAGCAAAGGTCATTCCACAGGGTGAATACAGGTGTCTTCATCCCAAAACCAGTCCTGAAATCTGATTGAGATGGATCAAAATAATTCATTTCATCCAGAAGTGCCTGGAGAGGCTCAGCCACCAGCCGCTCTATCGCCCTGCCCCCAAAAGGGGAAGTTCACCGCTGTTCTATAGTTGGTGATAACCCCTCGTTCCAGGTTCAGCTTCTTTAGCAATGGTCTTATCACAGCCTCCTTTGAGGAGGCTGGGATCACTTCCTTTCTTAAAGAGGTGTCACTTCTTAAAAGAAAAGTCACCTCTTTATTCCATAAGGTGACCTTGGCTTCGACAGATGCGCGAAACATATCTGCCAGATAGTCTCCCAGAGCCCTCTGGAAACTGGATCCATTAGACACTGGGGGCATACCATTTTAATGAGTCCTCCACCTCTGCTGAGTGGGAAAGGGGACTTTTAACTCTTGAAGCATTTTACAGCATAATCTTGCATTCCAGAGTGGGGTTCATTTATTTATTAATTTAGTTTTTCCCTCAGTGAACCTCAGAGCCACCATTAAGCTTGAGAGGCCAGGCACTCTTGGCTCTCAAGTTTGTAGTAATTCAGCTGGAGTGTTAGAATAGAAAGCACCAGGTCATCACTTTTTCATCCCCCTCGAGCTTTGGTTATTGAAGCATAGGATCTTGTCTTTATTTCCAAGGTCATCACCCTTCAGCTGGAAGTGTTTATTATTTTTGAGAATGGCAGGAAACATTATCTTCAGCTACTCTAGTGCCTGACATTCTCCTTCTGTAATTCTGTTTCAGAGGTCTTAGCTCTGTCTTCCCGCACCCACTCCAATGTTCTTCAATGTCAGACAGTGGTTTTGTGCTGGCCATTGAAGCTTTTTGATATTCATGTTTCAAAATCATGGCAAAGCTGTTTGGGTCTTTCTGCTATGAGAAGGAGGTGAGCCATTTTGCTACTGTAATATGTGGGTTTCTTTGTTGTAACCTCGAACCTTATCTGCCTCTCTTTAAGAGCTCTCGGAAAGGTACAACACTTTTTAAAACGAGATCAACAAAACAAGCCTTTTAGAAGTGTTCTGTGCTGCATTGAGCCACAGCTGCTTTGCTGAAGATATCCAAGTATCATACACACATTTTAATCACATGTCACTCATATTCTGGTATAAAGCGAGTGATATGTGATGGGGCCTTTCCTCTCTTGCACTGCTGTGCTCTGTGGATCCTCAGCTTTGCTCATTTCTAGTATAGGAGATGGGCTAGCAGGAAAACTTCAGAGCAGCAATGGAAGGGAAAGGTTTAAGTATTCTTCTTTGTATGCATATTCATGGAAAAAGAGGCTTCAACCCTGCATATGGAGGTACATTTTTATGCGAAAATGTCTTGTCACTGTCATGAGGGAAAACTCAGTAAGTCAGGAGCTTCAGGGTCTTGGATAGCCCCTAGCAAACATATTCTTTTGCTAGGATCCAGCTTTCAATAGAGAACTGGTATCATTCTTGGGCCTCCTCTTGTTGTCCATCCTCTTCCTGGACAATGGAGAAGTCTAGAGGGTAGTCCACTGGCCTGGAGCCAAGGACTCCATTGTTTTTCAGTTAACGTCTGCTTTGGCTTGACTAGCCAGCAGGTACCCTAGGAGAGTACAATCCCTGTAGAGCAGCCTTTCCCAACCAGGTGGCCTTCAGAGGCATTGAGACCACAACTCCCAGAATTCCCATCCAGCAGGGTCATTTACTGGGAATTCTGGGTGTTGTAGTCCAAACATGTCTGGAAGACACAGGGCTATGGAAGGTTGCTGTAGAGAGATCCAGCCCCATTCAAGGTGCTGGTATAGAGAGGACCAGACTCCAAGAAAATTTGTAAAGTTCAGGTGGAGTGAATTTAATCAAGTCCATCCATCCCTATATTCACAACCCAATGAATGTATATTTAGATTCACCCTCCCCATTTTTGCAATAAATACCAGTGCTGAAGTTTGTTTTTGCATTACTTTAATGACATAGCCGTAATTTTCTCACTGGTGGGTACTTGGATGTTTTAATGATTGGTTGGTTATCCTATTTTAGTTCCTAGTAAGGGATGTTTGCTCTAAATTAGTGTCCCAAAGAGCAGTTAAAGTGCTTATTTCAAAACACAAGCCAGATGGTCAACATCATGAGCTCTGAAGGCTTAACGAATATGGATGCCACTGATTTTTCCTCAGACATCTGGCCCTTTTAGGTACAATTCCCAGTGCCATCCCCCCACATCCCTTGAAAATGGCCTACACCTGGAAAGAAATTCTGAGCTGCTCAAGGTTTCTACCAAGAGTCTATACTCATAAGAAGGCTACCCAGCCATCCTCTGGTACAGCGTCCCCCGATCTGGTGCTGTCCAGATGTGTTGGACTACAGTTTCCATCAGCCACATCCAACATGGCCATTGTTCATTCTGCTAATCAAACTGTAGATTAATGCACCTGCAGTGTACCAGTTTCAGAACTGCTGCTCTAGGAAATCGCACACATTTCCAGCTAAAGTGCATTGATGCATGGTGCCTTGATGAAAAGGCTCACAAACTGCTTCTGGTTTTCCCAAAATGTATGTGTTTCTTGTAATAATCAGTGAGAAGGAGTAAAAGGTTTGTATGGAGCTGTGTTGACCAAAGATGACTGTACATTATATTCTCCTGAATTGTGTTCAAGAGCCTTTTTCCATGATGCTATAAAAGTGGGCACAACAACTGTTCTAAAGGTAGCAATTATTCTCCTCAACAGGCCCTGTGCAGAGAGGTTGATATGTCACTTCGCTTTGGGCAGCACCTCATCAAGCCCTCTGTTGTGTTTCTGAAGACGGAGCTATCTTTTGCACTTGTCAACAGGAAGCCTGTGGTCCCGGGACGTATCCTTTTCCTTTGGTTAGAAATGGCCAAGTGTAACAGACCGTTTGGGATCTTTGGGCATCTCTGTAGGAGCAGAAGCATCTTCCCTCTTTGCAGAGAAGCACAGGTAAGATGTTACTCATCTTTATTCTGAAACCAGTCAGTGGAGCATAATATGCTTGATCAGTGGTGCAGAACTTCTGGAAGCGGTTGCTTAGCAACAGTGACCTTAGAGGTGAATTTTCCATTGACCTGTTCACCAAAGAAGATGTATAAATAAACAGGTGGTGTTCCCTCCCTCCTTTCTTTTTTAAAGGATGTGAAAGTGTTTCGAAGTCACCCTGTGCTTTAACTGTTATTGCCTCAATAGTGCATTCCATTTTTACTAATCCTGTTGTGAGCATTTTGGTCTAAGCAACGCATTACAGTTGTGACTTTGGAATTAACATGTAACAAGCCTCTTAAGGTGTCTAAATGTCAGGAAGACTAGTGTCAAAGCAAGGGCTTCTTGCTTCTCTGCAGTAACCAATGAGGTAAATAATCTCCTTAGATGTCTTTGAATTTCTGTGTTTGTAAAGGAAAAATTCTGACTGTATTAAGGACATAGATATCTTCTCATGTGTGAAAAGGCACACGTGGGAGAAAGATCATAGCATCTTAGAAAAGCATGTGCCTTCCATGCAGAAGGTCCTGGGTATGATCTCTGATACTGCTACTTAATGGGAAATGGGGAAAAAACCCACTGCCTGGGATTCTGGAGAGCTTTTGGATGTCTGAGTAGGCATTACAGGCCTAAATGGACAAGTAGCCCTAACAAGATTCGGAGTGATATTTGTCTGGCTAGTTTGGCACTGAAGATGCAGTGAAATTTAGCAGAACCTGATCAAGACTGAACCAGACGTGTTTGCTGGCCACTCCCATGATGTCAAAGGTGCTCAGAACTAGGTCGACTTGCTTTTATGAGAGACCAAAGCTAAGGCCTCAAAATAACTTTGATCAGAGAAGTGGCTTAAGAGAAGCTCGTTACTGCCTAGATCAGGGTGGTACACAAGTATTACTGGCTACATTGGTACCTACTATTGCCCCTTCCTTGCCGCCTAAAAGTGTAAAAGGAAATGCTAAGCAAAAGAAAAGCTGTCCAAAGCAGCCATTTGGAAGCTTTTTAAAAAAGACTTTTTTTGTGTTCTGTAGCTACCATGGAAGGTAAAAAGAGTCAAAATTAGCTTGAAAATGCCCTCGTACTTGTGAGTCTCTGCTGTATAAATAATCCAGGGTCCAGTATTGTTTATCATGACTTTTCTAGCGTGATTCTCCAGTCCACTCTAGTGCCTATCCTATTTCCAGAGCGCTCTGCTTTCCTGCCAAATGGCTTACTAGGATAATTTGCCCGTATAGATTAGTTTGTCTTGTTCAAGCCAGGGTTGTAATGAATCTGTGAGGGTTCATTTGGTCATGGTGCATTGGAATCTAAAGCTGGGTTTCATGCATTAAGCCATACAAACCACAAACTCCTGACTCCTTTTTTTGTCTTTTTCGCTGCTTTGCGGGGAACTCTGCCATATAGGCAAGTTGTCAGTTTTGAGTCCAAAGGTGATAGTGGTCCAGCACGGACCACATAACATCAGGAAGCAACATAGCCTTTAAAAAAAATCTTCCGCTTTATTTGGCAAATATTAATTTCTTACTCTTTGTCATTCTCTACCTTTATGTTGGATCTGTCAGGACTAGCATACTGCCCCAAGTGCTAGGGGCCTGGTGTGCTAACTAGGTTGTTTTTCTTTTCTGAAGGGCAGGAGGAATCATTCCATCAATGAAGTGATGATGGTGGAATGAAAGATTTCTCACAATATATGACACATGGGAAGAACTCTTTTTTTTTTAAAGCAAGCATCCCTAGTATACACACAAGTATACACACACACGGATGTATGCAAGTGTATATATGATGGCAGCATGCATGTTTTTTCCAAGGTGGGCCTTGCCTGGACCAATAACTGGTAACTTTAATAATCTTAATAATAAGTTAATGTCCAATTGGCAAACATGGCATGAAGCTGATGATGCCCCCTTCCATTTTCAAAGAAATCAAATAGTGTGAAACAGATTGTGGAAGTGTGTGACCTTCCATATGCCTCTGGACTTCAGTTTCCATCTGCCCCAGTCATCATAGCCAATGAAGGACGACACTGTCAGTACTGAGCAGGATGGCGGTGTGCTAGCTCTGGTATCAGAGGAATGCGGGTTTTCCATGGGTTTCTGGTTAGCTGCTGTGAGAGCAGGAGGCTGGACTCAATGGGGCTTTAGATCAGCATGGCTGCTCTTAAGCAAGCCAACCCCATCTGGAAGGCCCCAGGGTTCCCATCCTCACTTTAAACCTAAGTAAACAGAGAATTATATGGATCAGCCAGGTTTGACTGTAATTTAAAATTTAGAGCTGTATGGATAGTCTTAAACTAGCACTTAATGACTTTCAGTCCAATCCTGTGCATAGTTACTGGGCACTAAATTCTATTGAGTACAGCAGTACTTACTCCCAAGTAAATGTCAATAGGATTACATCCGTAGTCAATGAACTGGTAAAGCCTAGCTATTAAACTTGATTGTTGTTAAGTACAAAACCCCACATGATTTTAACAGGAAAATATTGATTTGAACTCCTCCCTCCCCAAGAACATAAATGTGGAGGCTTGAAAAGTCGTCCTACCCCCTGACACACAAATATTCCACAATAGCTTCTTAAATATAGATCTGCAAAACTAAAGTTACATAGTTCCTGCTTGCCTCTCTGATGCATTTTTTAAATCCAGTTTTAGTTTTGATGCTCCACGCTAAGTAGTGTGTATGTATATGTGTGTGTTTCTTCATGCTGAATTTTGAAATAAATCATGCATTGCATGTAATGCAGTCTTTAATTTTTTTGTTTTTAATTTTCACATTAAAAACCACTGTTCAGTTACTAAAATAAAACATACAGCCTCCTCCCCATAATTAAGAGTTAAAATAGAATTAAAATAGAAGGGGAGGAGGAAGAAAATTACCATGCTGAAAACAGAATATGCTGTGTCAAATAAAGCACTTTGCTGTTATAAACCAACAAAAGGGTTTCATAAAGCCACATTCATTTGACCCAACAACAAGTGCATTTCCTGTGCTTTTTGGCAATAATTTTATCTGCTTGGTTTCTGACTCATAGTATATATCTTAATATGCATGTATTTCATTGCAGACAATGCAGTATTACTATATCTGAATGTCTGCACATTAGAGACAAATGAATGGGTTTAAAAGGCAACTCACTTTGGATGTCAGGTTAATTAACTTGTATGTCTGAAAAAATCCCAGTTTAGAAGAATCAGAGGAGTTGGGCATGACTATATTCTGGAAGTACTCTGAAACATAAACCATAGGAAGCATCTCATGGATGAGCTACAGTGAGATGTCTGGACATTGTGCAAAACCATAGTGGTAATTCACATGAATTAGACCCTCTCTGTATACATTTCACCTCATGAAAATGTTCTCCTCTTTCCAACTGACAGATTTGCAACAATTTAGCTTTTATTGCTGCGCTGGGTCAGAGCATCTTCTAATTCTAATATTTTAGCACTTTTTGTTATGCACCATCTTGTAACAACTGCAAAAGGTGGTATGTAAATAGTATACATAAAATGCCATTGACAGTATTTTATTGAGGTTTCTGTTTAAATAAACATGAACCTGAAAATATAACCCAGGCAGTCTACGCAATGTTGGATCCATAACCAGGCATTTTGTTTTGATCTGTGTTCCATAGACTTGATTTCCTATAGTCTTCCAGTTCCATGATCAGCTTTGCAACAGACAATTACTCCAGCATTGGAGCTGGGGATATGTGGTCCGATCTCACTTCCTGACTGCTTCTCCGAGGCTGCAAAGTGACCCTGGGGAAAGGCGTTAATGGGCACGTATTGGATGTTCCAGGGGGCTTAGTGGGCCTTCTAAGGGGCAGGGACAAGAGGAAAGCCAGCATTGTCAATATGGTGCACATCCTGCTGGTATCTGACTTTCTTCCCCGCCACTTTGCAGTTCCATAGTTAGTTGTCTGGCCATCTGTAAGGTGGGAACAATTCAAGGTAACCTGAAACCTCCAGACTTGGAGAACAACTAGACAGCCTGCATTGATTTTGGAGATTGTGGGCATCTTGGACTTAGCCTCTCCCCTTTGAAAATGAGGTTGTTGTCATTGTCGTCGTCATCATGACACTAATATCCTACCTATTTTTCTCTTGTCAAGAAGCCAAGGTGGCTTACATGGACAAATATAAGGTGCTTTATGCTTCTCACAAGAGGGGCAAAAGATAGGATGTAAATACAATGTAATAATGATAAAATACATCATTCTCCTCCACTCCATTTTCATCCCCACAACAACCTGTGAGGTAGATTAGGCTGAGGGTCCATGACTGGCCCAAAGACATCTATTGAGCTTCATGGCTGACTGGAGACTAGTATCTGGAACTTCTGGGTCAGCTTGTCCTATAGCAATATAAAGCCCTTTCCTTTCCAGAGATGGTGAAGTAAAATGTCACTGAGAGGCTGCTTTTGGCATTGAACTCTGGGTTAGTTATTTGGTGTGCATCTGGAGTTTTAGAAATGGTTCACAAAGTCTCACAAGGATTCTTGAATAAGTTGAACAGTCCTGGGATAGGAGGACAGGTTTTCTTATGGTTCAGCAACTGGTCAAAAATAGGAGTAGAAATAAATGGACACCTCTCACAGTGGAGAAGTGTGAAAAGGATCAATATCAGCAGTGATGCTTTTTAACTTTTTCAGAAATAATACAGAATGGACCAAACTCACTGACAACACCAAATCATTCAGGGTGATCAATACGAAAAAGGATTATGAAGCGCTCCAAAAATAGCTCTGCAGATTGGGTGAATGGGCTAATGATGACAAATATACTTCCATATGAGCAAGTCTTCTGTAATCGAGACCTGGGACAAAATTCCTAACCTCACATATATGCAGATGGGATTCA